GGTGGTGGTGGTGGTGGTGGTGGTGGTGGTGGTGGGGGAGAACGAGGAGTAGGGGGAGGAGGAAATGGGGGAGGAGGAGGATGAGGAGGAGGAGGAGGAGGAGGAGGAGGAGGAGGAGGAGGAGGAGGAGGAGGAGGAGGAGGAGGACGGAAATGGGTAGATTGCAGGGGGAGAATGCGAAAGAGGACCATGGAGGGAAGCAGGATGGAAGGGATGAAATGATCTACGGGAGGGATGGGGGGAGGGGGAAGGACGGGATGGTTGGGAGGGGGGGATGATAAGGTGGAAAGGAGGTGTCGGGAGTGGGGGAAAGGAAGGGAAGGAGGGAGGAAAGGTCCTCCCCTCAGCCCTTTCGAGTCGAGCAGTTTTGATCCGAGCACCGCGACACAGAGGCGCGATGGGCAACTGGACGTCACTGCCGTGCCTCGGTCGCCCGCCCGGTGTGTGCGCCGAGGGCTCGAGCACCGCTCCTGAGTGGAAGAGGGGCGGCACTTCCCTCGCGGAGCTGCGGGCCGGCGCGCGAGTGCTGTTCGCGACCGACGAGTCGGGTGCTGCCGGAGGTGTCCCTGGCCCAAGGTGTCCCCGGGATTCCCAGGGAAGCCCAGACTCGGGCCGGACGAAAGGGGGGATTGGGAAAGGGGGGGTACGAAATTTGCTGCATGCAGCTGGTTTCGGCCCTACCGAGGGGCCCATTCCTCGATATATAGCCGCCTCTGGCGCCGGGAGGCGCCGGCAAAATCAGCAAAGTGAGCTGATTCTCACCCCCCCCCTTTGCTATCCTTTGGCTCGACCCGACAGGCGGCTTCCAGGGCACCGCTCCTCTGGCCCCCTGGGCCAGAGGAGGTCCAAGCTGTTGCGCAAAGCTGGGGGCACCTTGGACCAGGAGCACTTCTTCCAACGCCCGAATGAGTGGTTCGCGGTCTGCGAAAACCTCTTGCAGCACACCGCTCCGACGTTTGACCCGAATGCCTTCTGCAGCCAGGGCAAAGTGATGCCTGGGGTTGCTGAAGGTGTTCCTGGCCCAAGGTGTCCGCAGCTTTTCTCTTCGTTTTGGAGTCCCTGGGGCCCTCTGGGCCTCGTGACGGGGTGCTCTGGAAGCCATCCGAACCTCCCTGGGAAAGCCGGGGTCACCTTGGGCCAGGGCCACTTCCAGCAACACCCGGTGATGGATGGGTGGGAGTCGAGGCGGCGGCGGCTGGCAGGGCACGACTGGTGCGTGATCAAGCTTGCCTATCCGGGCAGGATTCTGGGCGTGGAGGTGGACACCGCCTGGTTCACCGGCAACCACGCACCCCGAATTCGAGGAAGAGAAAGCAACGTAGACATGGACTTTCGAAGCCCTGCGCGGATTTCTTGGATCGGCGCCGGGGCCAACCTGGGGGCGCCTCCGTCCCTGCCCCTGGCCTCGCTCCGCGCGCCAGAGAGCGGTGTCCAGCGCAGATCCCAGAAATCCGCGCTGACCTTCGAAAGTTTACGCTGAGGCTGTTGTTTCCCTTCTTCTCCAAATCTCGCTGCTCGCGGCCGAGGTCGCCGCTGGCGACGACAGCTGGATGCCCGGCGCCACGGAGCGCGCGGCGGCGGGGGGCGGCCAGCGGGGCAGCTGCAAGACGCCCGCGGAGATCGAGGCGGCGGACGCGAGCGTGGCCCGGGCGGCTACGTGGCACTCGCTGCTCCCCGTGACCCCACTGCGGCCAGGCTACCCGGGGTCCTCGGTGCACCACTTCACCGCCGGCGCGGACCTCGCGCTGGAGCGCGCCACGCACCTCCGCCTCAACTACTTCCCCGACGGCGGCGTCGCGCGGCTGCGGGTGTACGGCCGCGTCAAGCCCGCGCTCGCCACGGGGCCCGGTGCTCCCTCCGCAGACCTGGCCGCGCTGGAGAACGGCGGGAGAGGACTCGGCGAGAGCAACGCCCACTACGGCAGAGCGAGCAACATGCTGCAGCCGGGCCGAGGCATCGACATGGGGGACGGATGGGAGACAGCCCGGCACCCCGACAGGCCCGCAGTCCTCGTCGTCGACCCCGCCACGGGCCTCAGCAACGCCACCGCCAGCGACTGGGCAGTGGTGCGGCTGGGCGCGGCGTGTGCACGGGTGGAGCAGCTCGTCGTCGACACCAACCACTTCAAGGGCAACTGCCCCGAGAGCGTGGAGGTGCACGCCTGCTCCGCCCCAGCCGCGCAGGTCTCCGAGGTCTGCTGCGAGCCGTCCGCGTCGCCGGTGACCTGGAGGGTCCTCCTCCCCCGCACCAGGGTCTGGAGCACTTCCAAGCCCGCACAACACACACAGGCGAACGCCCAGAGGCCCGCGTACTTCGCGGGCGCGCGCGCTGGGCTCCCCCCCCTCTCAGCACCGCGCCCCTTCCCTGATGCGCGGAGCCCGCCGCGGCGGCGCCGAGGGGTGTGTGGGGGAAGCGGGGTCCTTGCCCCGACCCAAGGGGTCCGCGCAGACCTCCGACAGCTCGCGCACACGATGTGGCACGTTGGGGCTCCCCCATCGAA